GGCTGGCAGGAAACTTGACATTTTAAACCTTAATTAAAAATCGATACAAGGCTTTAAAATATCGATACAGTATCGGGAAATGAAATATCGCGATATTTCAGTGTATCGATATTTTCTTACACCCCTAGTTTGCAGACATTTAAATCTGGGTCTGACACAGAAGTTTCAGGATCTGTGGGTTTATACCTGGAAGAAGGCGTAGTACCACAAAGAGTGGATGTTCCAGTAGAAGCCGAGTCCAAACAGAGACGTAAACAATCCGCTCATCAGCATCCCGAAGCTCAAGTAGTACCGCAGAGGAAGGCGTTCTCCAAAAATACCGCTGGGGTCACAAAACAATTGTTTATAGAGCTATCTCGCTCAAAAATAATTAAAAGTCGTCCGACATCTGCACACACAAACCTAAAAAACATGCCGATGGCGTAGGCAACCAGGAAGCAGTTATCCAGGACTCCAAAGAGGGTTTGATAGTTGTCCTGGTCTGGAGAGAAACACAGAGTGAACATGAACACAAAAGGTTACATCAGCRCATTACGGATTGAAAAGGACGTCACTGTGCTCTCAGCTTTCTTTTCTTATCAGCTGGGTCAGGATCAAGGACAGAWTTAATTGACCCACAAACGTTCTGCATTCAAAGCTACAACTCAGGTAGAAAATCAAATCAGGAGTTTATTCCTGGTGTCTGTGGCTGAGACGATCAGACAAAGAAAAAATACAATTATTGAAGTAAATCAAACACAAAAATCATAAAAATACGCTTTTTCTTCTCACGTTCAATTCAGTTCAAAAATACTTTATTGATCCCAAAAGGAAATTACAGATGTTGATCATTTTACGCCGATTGCAAGACCATTTACATGAATGTATGAGGAACATGTTGTTGTTGTTCCTAAACATTTCATGTACAGGTCATGTTAGGACATGACTAGCTATTGAACCRATTGTATACAAATCCTGTCACTAAAACTGGAGAGCCAAATCTAAAAAACATCATTTTTTACCCTTATTTTATTCAAATAAAACACGATTTGTACGTTTAACACTGCTGTTTTCTTTTGTTCACGTCATCTTCTGTCTGCAAAAGCAACAACTCAAACCAGCCTTGTTCCAAGTGTGTTACAATATAACTTTATCTTTTTTAAAGTTTCAACAGCAGTTGTTTACCTGCCAAATGAACAAGTTTCTATTAAAGACGTGAGATTAAAATGACTCACGAGGCCTCGGGAAGCAGGATGATACAGTTTCTCTTGATGTTCTGACTCATTGTGTCAGTTTGTGTTGGTTTTGTGTTTGAACAGTAAACCACTTGTTGCAATTTCCACGCTGACAATCAATAAGGAATCTCTGGAAACATTATCTCAACTTTCTGTAAGCACATGACCTTTTTTTTTAGTCAAACAAGGAAATATCTGCCTGGAGAAAGTGGTCTGATTGTAAAGAACTGAGGACACCACTTTCTAGTCCTGTGGTGACATTTTTAAGCGTTTGAAAAGGAAAACTTAAAAATAACAACTTCATATGGAGAAATTCCTCGTCGTGACTTACCGAAGGGCTCCCAGTCACACCAGGTTTCATTGTTGGTTACGTTCAAATCTGGTGGTCGAATAACCGTAGAACGATTTCTGTGCAGCTCACTCTGAGGTCCTGACAGAAACAAGTGAGAAAACCTGGATAAAGCAGCATTGATTTGATAAAATCACAGTGAAAACAACAAATAACTTTATCACCTTTGATCTGAGACAAAA